GGCTCGCTGGGGCCGCCCGGGCCGGCCACCCGGCCACCAGCTGAGATGCCGGCGCCTGCCCATCGGTGGTGAGGGCGTCGGGGCCCGCCGGGGAGCCCGCCTCCCCGTCCAGCGTGCGGGCATCTTGGAGGTCCACCATAGACAGGCTCTTGCCACCATTGGCCATCTGAAGATCAGGCTCGTTGGCTTCCGAGTAACTCGAGCTGCGGGCAGGTGAGGGCTGGACCCCGGAGGACCTTGTGACAAAAAACAAGTCCTTGTTTTCGGGGGTTGGAGACGGTAACCGGGTGAAATCTATCAGACTGCAGGGAGACAAGCACACACAGGGAAAGAAGGGGGAAGAGAAGAGCTGTGAATGCGGCCAAGGCGGGTCCAAACCAAGAGCCCCGCCAACCTGCCGGGGCCTGGCAGCCTGAGCCTGAGCTGGGGCTGCGGGGGGGAGGGGGAAGGCAGGGCAGGGAGAGGAGGTGCGAGGGCTGCAACACCAAACCACAGCCCTGGCAGCGCCGCCCCCCGGCAGAAGCCACTGCAGGGACCGAGCGGCCAGGATAGCACCTCCTACACTGCACCTCCCTTCTAGGGGCCGGTGTTGCTAGTCCCAGGCCAGGCTGTCCGGCACGCCCGTCCCCGGCTCAGCTGCACTTGAGACATTGGGTGCTGCGGCCTGGAGTGTTCTGGAAAATTCTCCTTGGCTAAACCCAAACCCACAACGCAGTGGCTCTCTGCTATCCAAAGGTCCGACTTCAAAGCCACAGGGGCTCCCGCAGCCTCTTCCCTCTTGTTCCTCATCAGACTGACAACCAGAGTGGGGACCTAGTGAAGCCTCCCCAACCCCCCCACCCCCCGCTCCCCGCCCAGCCTCCTGCTGCCACCTTTGTCTGACTGGCAGGCGGGGGCTGCTGTTCCTGGCAAAAACAAGGAATCAGAGGAGGATCCAAAGGTGTGACTCAGGCAGGGAGGGTCTGCACCTGCAGAGGCAGGCCATGCCCTCCCCCAGTCTTGCAGCCTCTCCCTGGCCCCTTCCCGGAAGCTGGCTCCTTAGAAAGCACAGGGTGGTGGTAGGTCAGGTGGGCTTTGGAGGGAAGGTTGTGGGGGGTGGGGGTAAACAGGGCTCTGAGCAGGTGAGGGTTCAACAATGGGGAGCTGGAGTTGGCGTAGCCTGGGATGGAGAGGATGCCTGGCTACCTCTTAACCAAGGTGTGTCTTCCACCTGAACCGCTTTGCTTCACTTGGCAGGCTGTATGAATGGACCCCCAAGACTCAGAGGGAGCTGGGAAGTGGCACCTAGACCTCTGCATCTCTGGCCTCCTCCTGGGCCTCCAGTCCTGCGTACCACACACCCTAGCTTCTTGATCTCAGGGCCCTTGCCTGCTTACATGCCTCCGAACAAGACTCAACTCCCGACTCTGCGGCCCTAGCCTCATCCTTCCTTACTAGCTGGCCCCTGGGAGGGAGTGCATGAGCGGGGCAGAAATGGTTCACTATAAACCCAAGTCTTTCAAAGGAATATCCTCATTTTGACATTAACATTTGAGAACATTCTGCCTCTCTGTCCACCATGTGCTTATTTACAGGTCACTGTGCCTTGTCTCAGACTGTGGTCTGAACCTCAATACCTCTCCTAGTTTCTGGAGCTCCCAGACTCAGAGCCTTGCAGTCAGTCACCGAGGCTTCTGCTGAAAACACACATGCTTTAGTGCTACTTCTCGAGATTCTGATTTAAACCAGGAAATACCATGAAAGTATTTTTAACACACACCCGGGTAATCTAGAGGTATTTGGGACCAAACGGTTCTTTAACAAAGCGTATTTCTCCAAGTCTTTGTTTGTGCTAGATCCTCTATATAGAAGACCTTTTCCACCAATGGAAATGTTACTTTTCCTAAAAAGCCCAAACTATGGCACTACCTCCTCCAAGAAGCCTTCTCCGATTTTTCCCAAATGAAGGTTCACTGCCTATAGTCTGCATAACACATTTCAAGTCTCATCTAGCTTATCTTGTAAACATTTGTGTGGACATCCTCCTCCCCAGCTGAGGCTGCAGACAGGCTGAGCCTTGCCTGCACGTGTACCTCACAACACCCGGTACGCCCAGCAGGTCTTACCCAGAGAGATCATTCTCTATCACCATCTTCTGCAGCCCGGCTGAGATGCTGCTACTGCCAGAGCCAGGAGTGGAGGCCAAGTCGTTGGTCCCTGGGAGCTGCCCACTGCCTGGGGTGCTCAGTGCTGTGTGGACATCCCTCAGGATTCGAGGCAGGGGCCCCAGTTTGGATACAATGCTCTGCAAATACACAGCAAGAGGCAGGTGTGATCCGTGGGGGCCACTTAGGAAGGCCAAGTGCACTGCAGCTGCTGTGGTTCAAAATATCAAGGAGCCCCTTGGAAAGGCAGGCCCTGCCCTCGCCCACCTGTCAGATGAAGCAGATCTGGGAAGTGGCTGGGAAGGCCAGGAATCTGCAACTGGACATTTTCCCCAAGCCTCTCAGTTAGCTCTGGGCGTGGGGGAGGGGTGCAAGGCCCAAAGGGAGAAATGGGGACCTAGCCCAAGCCTTTGACCTGGGTTTGTCCTCTCCCCGTGCCCCAGAGAAGGGAGCCCAGGTGGAACCCCAGATTTGCCACAGTGACACCTCCCTATCCGAGAGGCTTCTGGGATGGCCCTCTGCTTATGCACTGGCTTCCAGGACTTTGTGCAGAAAGGAAGTAGGAAAACTCATGTAGTCAACAGAGCACAGACTCGAGAGGCAACAGCTCAATTTCAAGTCCTTGCTGCAGCGGCATCAGCTGCGACGGCGGCTGCCACCTCCCGTGGAGCGGGTGCAGCGGTCGGAGGCCGGCACAGGGACTCGGCGGGCAGCGGCCGCTCGAGCAACTGGTGCTGGCAGCCGTGGAGGAAGACGGGGCCTCGGCCTCACTGCCATGACCCCTCCGGCACCTGTCGCAGCCAAAGGGCAGTGGATACCGTGAGCAGAAGGGAGTGCAGCAGCAAAGCGCTGGGCCGAACCCGAGCGTCCAGCGACAGTGCCGGGGCCCGTGTGCTCCCGTGCGGGACAGCGTGCGGCCGGCAGAAGGTCCCAGCGGCAGTGCAGTATGACTGACTACAGTGAGCGGGCCCACCGAAGTCCTCACTGCCCCGCGAACAAGAGGAAAAGCACTCTGTGCCTGCGTGGGTACTTCACACACGAGCAGAGCTATCTAGAAAGCCTCACAACCAGAGTGCCCTGAGCAGTCACCTCTAGGGAAGAGGACAGGAGCAGGGAGGTCTTCCAGCCCTGTTTAGGCAGTAACTACTTTTGTCAGGTGGTCTCTTGAGGCCCTGGAAAGCAACAGATATTCTGCAAGTGGATCCTGGCAGGACTGGCCCTTGCTGCCAAGAACCTGTTCACTGTGCGGGCTGGGGCTGCAGGGGCGACAGTGGAACCCCAGGTCACAGAGGGCGCATGCCGGGTGGCTGCGGCTGGGTCAGAGGTGGCTAGGGAGTAAGATTTTCAACTGATAGTCAAGGGCAATTCTGGAAAGGTCTGCACCTTCCTGCCTGACATGGGGAGGTACAGCATCTTCAGAGTATACATTTTTCACACCAGTGGCCTTAAAACCTAAAGCAAAGACATTTTTGGAGACGCAGCTCAAGATGATCACATTTCTCCCAGGCAGGGAGCACACCTTCATGCAGGAGTCCGTCCACTCAATTCTGAGTGTGCAGAGGCCTAGCTAAAGCCCCAGTGGGCAGAGTGGGCTCCCGTGGCAGGTGCTGGAAAGCGAATGGGACATTCCCCCCCGCAGGAAATGGAGCCCCGAGACCCCCCAGTGCAGGCTGACAGGGCCTGGGTTGGAACCTCGGGCTCCAGCACCTGGGTGGGTGAACACGCTTACCCCATTCGTCTGGAGGAGCACCCTCCAGCTCTGTGGCAGCATCTGGCCCAGCCCCTGACCCCCCACAGCCCCATGGGGCCAGGCACCTGCTCCAGCTGGCTGACGGCCTCCCAGAGCAGCGAGTGCAGACTAGAGAGCTCACGGCCCAGATCGATGTAGCCCTCGAAGCCGGCCGTGTTGGAGATGGTCTCGGGGTTGGAGATCTCCAACAGGAAGCGTTGCATGTTGGTCCACTCGTGCTCCAGGAATTGGTTCATGAATGACATGTACTCCTCCTTGCTGCCAAACCTGGACAGAAAGCGGACAGGGTAAGTGCCCCGGGGCCCCGCCCATGAGCCCCCCTTCTCTGAGGCACCCTGCCTCAACTCCCACCCCTCCTGGCCCACTGCGGCTGCCTCCCATGCCACTCACTGCCCCCGCCAACCAGTCTGTTCCGACTCGGGGCCCTCATTCCTGGCTAAGCCCAGAGACCCTTTTCGGGACCTTTCCTCACAGGACCTAGAATGCTCTGTGGCCCTCACTCCTCATGCACAGCCAGTCAATCTCCTTCCTCTTTTCCTCCAAGTTTCAAAGGCTTGGTGCACAGATGCCTTTTCAATGCACGTTTGGCAGGTCTCTCTGCTGAGCTTTCAGATGTGCGCATCCACGGGTACCTCCTCTGTACTCGGCCTGGCCAAGTCTGGCGTCAGGTCTGTCGCCCCAGACCCATGCCCCACCACCAGGCTTCCTATCCTAAGTGGGGACACCGCCGTCCCCGAGACAGCTGAGCCAGAAGCCTGGTGGCTTCCAGCTTCTCCCTTTCTCACCGGTGAGACCTGCTGACTTTATCTTCTAATAACCCCCCACCTCATAGCCACGGCCTCCTGTATCGCCACCCCTTGCCCCCCAACACTTCCCCTGCAGTTCCTTTTGTGGAAGGGAACCATGGCTACCCTCTCGGCCCTGTCTCTCAGCTGCCCGCTGTGCTTCCTCCAGCCCCCATGCCCCTGGCTTTCAGGCTGACCAGTTCAGGACCCAGAAGAGATGAGAGCCAGCCTCCCTCTTGCTTCAAGCCCTCCAGTGGCTCCCCCTGCCCCACCTGCACTTCAAGTCCCCGCTGACCTCTCATATCTCGCCTCCCACTCCTCCTGGCCTGGTGATGAGTCAGGAATGCCAGGGTGCCTCATGCTGCCAGCACACGGCCCTCCTGGGGCCTGCCGCACCTCTGCTTCTGCTCGCCTCGTCCTGACACGCGGCGGGGGCACATCTCCCAGAACGACAAGCCTGGGGCCCTCCTAAGAGGCCTGCGTGCTCCCTCACCGCTCTGCTGCTTATCCCACATCTCCCTCTCTGCGGGAGTGTGGGTCCAGGAGGCTGGGGCCAGATGTGACTCAGAGCCCAGCGCAGAGAGGCCTGCAGCAGGGCTCCGTCCACACTGCGAACGAGCCCTTCCGTTTCCCCCCACTCGCTCCAAGGTACAGCTGAGGACACTGAAGTGCTTTATGAGCAAAGACATCCTTCACGGCATCAAACAAGGACAGTCTGAAACAACCTGAGAGCCCAACCACGCGGGACGGGTTAAGAAAATATGGGCCATTCTCCCTTGAAGGCATATTAATCATTCATTGCAAAATGAGGCTTATGAATGTTAAGTACACGGGATAATCCTTATGATAAAATGTTAATTCAAAAAAGCAGAAGAAAAAATATCTCCTCTTCTCACCTTTGAAAATGAAGGAAACGTACCCAAATGCCATGTACTTTTTGTAGGAGGAGAATGAGGTGTGGAGATTTTATTTTGAACAACGGGGAAGGGAAGAACTGAGGATGACAGGGCCAGAAGTGGGGCCTGCGTGCCGCCCAACTCCAGGGCGGAAAGCCCCCCACCCCCCGCCCCCGGCCCGGCCCCGCCGCTCCAGCCGGCGCCCAGATTCTGCCCTGAGGGGTGCCCGGCACTCACTTGGCGAAGTTGGCCAGGTTCTGGGTGACCTTGGCGATGAGGGTGAGGGTGCGGGCTGTGCGGTCGTCGGGGTACTCCTGCAGCAGGTTGAAGAGCGAGGGCGACATGATGGCCGGGCAGAGGAAGCGCAGGAACAGGGAGGCACTGATGAGCCGCTCGCTGATGTCGGGCCGGCCTCGGCTGCTGCACTCCTGCCGCCACGAGGCAAACACCTCTTTCAGCTCCCGTGGGAAGACACTGGGAGGGACAGAGGGGGCGTCGGTCATCGGGCGGGGGAGCTAGCCCGCTGTGGGGAGTGCAGCGCGGCGAGGGCAAATGGAGGGCTTGGTGCAAAGAGCAGGGACAGCCGAGCTCCAGACAGGGCGGTGGGCTCTCCACAAGGGGCCGAGGCGGAGGGGCACAGGTCCAGAGAGGCTAGGTCTCTCTCCCAAGCAGAATCAATGGCAACAGCCAGCCTGCCCCGGGGCTTCAGCCTTGACCTCCAACACCAGGCACGAGGTTCTAGGGGAGAGCGAGGCGAACACAAGTGGAATCGACCACTGCTCCCTGGATGCCATCACTGCTGCTGACACTCACTCCCTTTGCTTGCATCATATTCAGGAACTGGACAACTTCAGCAGAGCTCAGAATGACCAAGATGGGAATAGCCTAATCACAGGATGAGAACCCAGCTCTCCACCTTCTCGGCGGGAAGGGAAACAGAGGGAGTGACCCGCCCCCCACCACCCAGTGGGGGCCAGTGGGGGTAGGCAGGGTTTCTAGCACCCAGCTGGGGGCTCTCTCTGCTGGGCATCCGCAGCCTGCCTCAGTCAGGCCCCACTGGCCAATCTTTAAGTGGTTTTCCTATCTTTTCACCCTAAAAAGACATGCCTCCCACCTTGGGACAGACCAGGCCCCAGCACTCCAGGGACCCTATGCCTGGTTCTGTCACTAGCTCAGGGTGTTCTGAGCAAGTGCCTGGCCCTCCTTGACCTTCAGTTCCCTCACCCTTACAATGAGAATAGGGCCTACCCTGCCAAGTTCACATGACCACCTCAAGGCCGTAGGAAGCCTTGATCAACTCACAAGGTTTTTGCCCAACAAGCCCAGCACCTGCCCAGCAGGCTCTCTACAGTGAATGCGGCTGAAGCAGCAAGAGCGTGCTAGAGAGACGGTGACAGGGGAGCAGGGGGAGGACCTTTAGCCCTGGCCCTCAAAATGCCTGACCCAAAATGCCAGGCAGGGGGGAGCTGTGGAGCAACGACATCTGTGGATGGCCTCATTCAGAACAGAAAGGTGCCTCTGGGCCTCTGACAAATATCAGAAAGAGGAAATGGAAAATCATCCACAGATACGTTTCCCTGTGTCCCACACCCAGTCTGCCCTGGGAACGGGGGGCAGAGGGTGAAAGCACAGTCTAGCCCAAGGGTGGGAGGTATGTTCCCAAAGAGTTCAGGACTGTGCCTCCACCCCCAAGTCCAGGGGTCATTTCTGGCCCAGCTCGAGGGGCCAGGCTGACCCTAGGTGAGTACCTTGTGCAGCCCAGGCGCAGAGGGACGTGGTAGAAGGACATCCATTCTCCTGGCTCTGGCTATTCCCTCTGCTCCCTGCCCAAGGCTATCAGTCACCTAGCAGGCCTATCCCTGCCTGTCTTTCGGGAGCTGCAAGCCATTCCTGGGCCTTCCTAGGTCCAGCCCTGAGCTGATGGATCCATCTGCCCCGGGGTTCCAAGGATATGCAGGGAACAGATTTGGGCACAAGCACAATCCCACTCTGACGGGATCAGGGCTGTGACAGAGGTACCCGGGAGCGGGGAGACAACCACGTCTGATACCATGGAGGGGGGCCACTGAGGGGAGGCAGGCGTAAGGCCTTCAAGCAGGAAGGGAGGCAGCATGAGGCGGTGGGGCTGTGGGGTGAGTGAGGAATGGCGCGGGCAGCAGGTGGTGGGGTGGGGCGGCACCCCTGTGGACAGCTGAGAGGTCTCGCATCCATCCACCTGCTCCAGGAGAGTGCCTGAACGGGGCCCCATCCACCTCACTCCCTGATGCTGCAGGCCCGGCACCCACAACAGCGGCCGGCACACCGATGGGCCTGCGAAGAGATTCGCAGATGCACTGCCACGTCCAGATTCTCCACACCACGGCCTGCACAGATTCTGGGCCACTCCTTTATTTTTTATTTTTTTTTTTAAAGATTTTATTTATTTAT